CGACATATCCAATTCTCCTCGATGCCTAAATGGGATAATGTCAGTTTCCAGAAGGAAACAAATGGCAAGAGAGGGAAATCAATATAATTTGTAAACAGTGGGCCCACCCTGCCCTTTATAAGCCGGTGTTAACTGATTCATCAGCACTATCACTCGTTTGGAATCTTCATCAGAAAAACGCTGGAAACACCTACGACACGAACAGTAAAAACTCCATGGCCCTCCAAAAAATGCGAGACATTCGTAAGTCTTGGACTTGGATCTAACAACGGTGGATAACTGCTGCGTATAGCTCAAAAAGGATAGTCCGTACAGGTCTTTTTCGGCAGAGGAACTACAAACTAACCGATAATCGAAATCTGCTCCAGGTGTGTCAGCTCCTCTCGGAGGCAGAGGGCTTGGTGGTCTGAGGGATGTGGTGGAAGAGCCGTTGGCAAGGGTAGGCACCTCAAGTGTGAAACGTGGCACTGGCCACAGGATCGACGCCGAGTTGGTGACGTTCTTGGATGACAACGATTGAATATCGTCGACGGAAATCGAACATCGAGGCGCCGATGACTTCTTCAGAAGCGCGGTCCGGGTTGGGTCAAACGATCGAGGCATCTGAGGCTGAGTCAGTCATGTCAACGAATCGAAGCGAACCAAAGAAAATGACCAACAGATGAGTTAAAATGCGAAAGAGCTCATAGAAGCAGACGGAAAGTGAGCATTGAAGAAACACAACTACGAAGAGGGTTCTCAACGGCATCGGAGCGCATGTTTTTGAGACATTTCGGGAGCAAAATTAAACTGAACCGCAAAAACTAGTATGGGATAATGAATAGTATCAATAGCAAAAAAATAGCAGTTCAGTCCTCGACCTATACATTTTAAAAAATAGAGAAAATCAGTAAATTTTAAGAAATTATGACACATAGACCCTAATGGGGTCATACGTACCAGCATATATTAGACCCGGTATTATAACCACAAAAAAATGAATTAATGAGTTACAAGTTAATTAGCGTTCAGAGTTGGCGGGGGACATGCGATTAGTCGGTTAGGCAACCGGTCTATTAAGAAGGAGACACATATTTGTAGGGCGATTAGGCGAGTAGGCGATTAGGTGTACGTACACGCGATAGAAAAAGGACATGTTTTGATCCTAATAAGCGGTCGCCTAATCGCCTAATCGCCTACTTGCCTAATCAGTCCCTTAGTTCCATCAGTATGAAATTGGACAAAGAAGCATCGACACGACCAATCTCACCTCGGAATGCGGCACACGTATACTCATTCAATTCAAAATGGTAGTCGCATATGAATGCGATTCGCCCCATACAATGACTTGCGATGGACAGCCGATTTATGAGCCAGTGTTTTCACCTTCCTGGACACATATGTTACCTACTTGACCACCCCAGAGACCTGATCGATCTACGGCCTACAATCCAAAATCTGATTTCTACACGTGTGCATGCTACGGAATGAAAAATGCCGCTATACGACTTCCGCCCAGCTTTTATCGTTAGTTTAAATTCAATCGAGATTCGCTTGTTGAGTCATCAACTATGCGATCCATTTACTATGTGGGAAGACCGGGGAATGTTGCCGAGGAAAAACGGATAGCCGACTGTCAGCGCAGTTTCGAAAGCGGCATTCACAAAAACTTGGAAGGATATTCCATTTCATTTTCATTTCATCAATTATTTTTATTTTTTATTCCAGATGAATCCGAATGAACAAAAAAATCATAAAAATGAAATTTTACTAGCATGCACTGCGTTTTTCGGTGCAACCTAGCGTCTTATACTTAGCATCTATTCTTCACAAAATTTTTTTACTGTTTTTTTTTTCAAAACGAGACTATTGGTGCGTGCACTCTCGGTGAGTACATTGTACAAATAAATAAGTCAATAAAGAATGAATCAAACTATCAAAGTCGACTGCAAATCCAGAGCAAACTGCGAAATTGAACATGTTGAGCAAGGTAGAACAGCAAAATAGTATTGATTGAAAGAGCCTCGCTAACTTCCTGACAACTAAAGATTCAAGCCATTTAGTACAGTTTTTTCTATACGCCCGATACAAGGTTATCTCTTCAAAATATGCAATGCATAGACCGTATTTCAAGCTACCGTTGTTTAAAGCCTAGTTCAAGAAGTGTCTATGCCTCTTCGTCCCTTAACGAAAAATACCCTAGTTTTCGAGATTGTTGTGAGGCCTCTTCACTAGGCCTTTTGAAAATTTGCGCGTAACAGCCTCAACCCATTCTAGAGCCGCCATTCCCCCTACGCAAGCCGATGTCAAACTTCGCAAGTCGAACGGTTTGCTAGCGTCCGCGGTCGCGTCACGGCCAGCGAATCGCTCCATTCGCAAAGTCTGACATCGGCCACAGTTAGACGAATTAGTGGCGCTAGCGTAGGTTCTGTTACTACGTATTAAAGGCAAGATTCAAGCTTAAACTGATGAGGTAATTCTACTCAAATGTGATGTAGGGGCGGGAGGGTGACCGCCAGTGGAAAAAAAAGGAAGAAAATCCTGAAATACACAGGAAATACGAGCCTTTTGCTCTACGTTGCGGAGAAGTTCAAAAGGCCGGCAGGGAGATGAGAGATAATGTGAGCGCGGAGAGCGGTAGAGAAATCCGAGAAGAGAGAGCATAGCAGATCAACATTGCGACGCAGACAAGATATCGAGCGGTGGGCGGAGCGTGTCGCAACAGGTGGAGCGTGTCAAAGTCCTTGGCCCCTAGCGCCTTAGTGACGCATTTGGATGCGGGAACTTGGCGAGTCGCCTGCAGCTGCGTCCCGTGCACTTCTAGCCACTTTAAAATGCTTAATTAGGTGGGTTCTGGAGCACGAAGCTTTGGCCTTTAAGTCAGGTCGGATCTCACTGCAGGGGTCTCGAGAGTGATTAGGGCTGATAAGGCTCTCTGCAATGAGAGAGAACTTATAGGGAAATTAGGCTTGAGAAGCAAGAGGATATGGCTATAACCTGAGAAAAAAACTATCTAGGCCTTCAAAAAACTGCAATTTATGGCTGTGAAGCCATTGAAGAGCTCGGTAGTTAAAATAAGTGACCACAAAGTGTTTAAGCGGATCAAAAACCGCCAGTTCAGAGAAACAATTGACGCTCTATTTGGATGGATGTATCAATGTTCACAGAAAGTGGTTTTATTTTTAAGCCCCCAGTGGATACCGTCCTGTAAAATTACAAAAATTAGCGGGTTTGATTTTTCCACAGATGGGAAAAATTCAGCTGTCTAGGAACCTCCACGAAACATGAGAAGTTTAAATTGACCTAGCGGGCATTTAGCCCCACTTTTCGATAAAACTTTCTGAAACGACCCTCCTTACAAGTGGCGTTTGTCAGTTCATTGGCACAGGGTTAATCAAGATTAAGAACATGTTCTTCTAAGTTCATCTCTGAACAGGCAAGAACAATAGTTGTAATGCGATCGGAACTTCAGTCTTCACTTCTCCCCTCCCGATCGTATCAATTCGCGCCATCGGTGAGATTAACTCATCTGAAGCAAACGTAACCCCAACCTGCACTAGACAGGGAACAACCTAATAAAGCAACCTAATAACCCATTGTGATCAACTAGTGCGGGATCGTACAGGTCATCAGGCCCTTACTCACTTTTTTGCAGGTTGTAGGGATAAGCGCCAACAAGGAAGATGGCATGAGATTTATTTCTCTGAAAAGCCCCGAGAACAAGGGACCTGGAAAAAATGAGAAAGAGGGTAGTGGAATACTTATATGGCACTGACCTTGATCATGGTCATTGTCCCTTTACTTGGAAAAAAGGGAAAGAACAGCAGTTGCGATGCCATTGCGTTTTTTTCGCAAAGTAAGGGGTGCAGAGTCCGAGACCCATCGCAAGAATCGCGCGAATCGCGCGACAGATCGCAGACTCTCACACCAGCCTAAGCCCTGGGAAGAGCCTGCCATGGCACAGAACAAAGTACTCTGGTACAGAACATCAAGGCCGTGGCAGTTAAAGGAGCTATACATAGAAAAGTGGTCGTTGCATAGTCTTAAACCTGACCATGGCTGATCACCATTGTTGCCTTTTTCTCGACCTCTGTGGTTTTTGATTTCCTGTGAGGTCGCAGGGTAAAGGTAGGACGCTTTTCTTGCACAGAATCTAGCGTCATCATTTCTGCTCCTGGCTAAGACACAGAACCTCTACAGTTCCCAGTTAGTGCGACTACCATTTTCAT